CCACAACCTTTTCTCCTTTTATGAACTTAACTGCATCTCCCCAAAATTCATCTCTTGAAGCCCTTACCACCAGTGTGTAGAAATTTGGAGATACAGTTTTCAAGGAGGTAACTGAAGTCACATGAGACTATGAGGCTGGGACCTGATCCAAGCTGGCAGGTGTCACAAGAAGGAAAGAGGCCAGGGTACACAAGGACAGAAAGAAGCCCATGGAGGACACCTTAATGACACTGCTAGATGCTGCTGTCTGGAGGCCAGGGAGGGGCTGCAGGAGAAACCAAACCTGCTGGAGAAACCAAACCAAACCAAACTTTGATCTTGGCTTCTAACTTCCAGAAACATAAGAAATAAATTTCTGTGGTATATATAGGGTGGTACTCTGCCTGTGGTGTTTCATTGTGGTAAGTATAGCAAACTTACATGCCCCACACCCACATTTCCTATAGCACTTTAGGGCCATTCCCACAGGCCAAAAAGGGAGCTAGAAAACCTCACTTAGTAAATGAAAATCACATTTGGAGATGATAAAGTCAACATCACATCCTCTGATGATGGTATCAATCTCTCCTTGGTGATAACACATGCTAAAGGAGCACTGACATGAAACACAAAGCCATCAGTATAATCAAGCACCATCCTCGTGGTTTCATGGCTGTTGACTGGGGGGTGTATGCTGGGTTGTAATTTACAGGCTCCCACCTTGCAAGTGAACCATTGCTCTGATCCAGCTGATCCAGGTGGCACTAAGTAGGATGTAGCTTTGAGGAGCAATTTTAGTTCTGAGGGTCCTGCCCAAGGAGAAGTTTAGGGAGAATGAGAAGAGAGAGCCAGGCAAGACTTGTGAAGGCCCAGTGTGTGTAGAAGGTAGTCCTGGCTGAGAGGTGCAGCCTGTAGTTACAGTGCACTGGACAGTCACAGACCCTTGTACCTGGTCACTGATAGGGCACCAGGACTTTGGCTGCTAGGCAGGCACTGGGAGAGACCTGAGACATGGCTCTGGGTAGACTTATAGATACCACTCTGTCTTGCAACTACAACCAGTCCTACCCATTGGAGCCTCCGTGCCAGCAGGTCAGCAACCCACTCAGGGCATGAAGAACAGGCCACTTCAATGCCAGGGATGATCACTTTTCTGAGCCAGCAAAGGCAGAGAGTCTGGAGGATCAGTAAAGTTGGAGATAAACGTGGGCTCTGGAAGCAGACAGGTACTCGGTTTCCATCTCCACCACTGCTCCTGCCAAGTGACAGGTGAACTGCCTCTCTCCTGTGCTTCTCAGTGCCCTATTATTTAAGATGTATTATTTAAAATGTATCCCTTTTAATCCCTACATTAGTATTTTTATACATATTTATATACATAAATTTGAATACAGTTTTTTCATCTTTCTTTGTGATTTTCTTTACTATAGCTAGCTCATACTTGAAGATAATTCTCTATTAGCATATTTAGATTACTTCACTGCAATTAAGTTTGAGACTGTGTTTTATGAATGCTTATACACCAGAGTGCTGAAGTCTTTCTAGTTTGAGGTTCTCACATATTCCTCTGTGCTGAAGCCAGTTGCATGGAGCTTCATGTTCCTTTGCAGATATGGGCCCAGATGATATTCTCATGAGGGAGATCTAGTAGATCTTTTGGTTCTGGTTTAAAATATCTTATTCTCTGTTCTCCATTACTTTCTCATGTGGTACTTCCTATTTTCTACTTTAGCACTCTTGTGGTGCAGGTACAGTCTTCTCTTTGCAGATTCCATATCTTTTTTTTATTACTCTGTCTGTAGGATGCATTATATGTGTTTTCAAATTTCTCTTCTGATGAGAAAATAAAAATACATTGTTTCTTGATTCCCTAAACTCAGTCCTTAACCATTTCCCCAAATTTTTACAAGCCCTTCCTAGAAGCTTCAGAAGCATTCAATCAAGGATATTATTCCCACTGGAGAACAGCACTAGATGGACACAAATCCTGCTTTTTTTGAATAGATGTTTCCATCCAAGACCTGAGAAAATAAGTACAGGATGAGTCACGTGATCTAGTGGAGGTGTTTTCGCTTTGCAGTCAGGCAGAGTTGATCCTGAATCCCACTCTAGCTGTGTAATAGCTGTGGGGCTTTGAACATGTTTCTTCATACTATATAAACCTCTTCTATAAGAAAGGGCAGAAAGATACTGAGAGCCAAAATGTCAGAAATTCTTCAGCCTTAGCTGTATCCATAACCTTGACAAAGTGTTTTTACTCCTACCCCTATCAAAATGCAGAATTTCTTGAGCTGGGGTTGTGGTTCAGTGGTAGAGC